GAGCGCTCACACAGTCATGCACAGCACACAGAGAGGGCACTGTAACATGGGAAGTGTCTCTCTCTGGATTCCCCTGGTCACACCTGGCTGAACGACACAGTAATTAATCCGAATTTCACTTAGCAGCCCGAGAGAACGCGCAAACGCACACATACACACGGCCACAGTTTAATTTGGCCACACAATAACCACGACAGCTCACAGATGAAAACACAAATGAAAAGGCACACAGATACACACACCCAGAGACAAATTAAGCTGCACGCAGATGATCCCACCACACATGAATGAATAGAATGAAAAAACTCAAAATATACACACATCAAGGACAATAACACATACACACATTAAGCAACGCACACTGCACAGACAAAGGGGTTTCATGGAGATGTGTATGTGTAATACTGCAGCTCCTGTTGACTGTGTTGGCGTAGGTTATTCCCCTGGCACAATGCATGGCTGACAGCACCTGAGCTTCACACACACATACACACACTCACACAGACATACATACACACAGACAGAGGACAGACACAGAAACATAGACACACTAAAAGACACATTTAGCAGGATAAGCCACACACACACATTTGGACGTTCTCAGGAGTGCAGTCTGTGTGTTCTGCTAACAGATGGTAATGACAGTTTCAGTCCCTGGACTATCATCTAATCAAAACAGCACACATACAACACACACACACACACACACACACACATGCATACACACTCCAGCCTCCCTCAAGATTAAAACATCCTTCACACCAAATAAGGTTAACAGCATAATTCATACCAAATATGCATTGAGAACATAATTTAGGCCGGTGCGCCGCTACATTTAAATGCATTTCAGTAATGCAATTTAAATTCCATTAAAAATCAAACACAGTTCAATTCCCCCTCGCACCACATAAAGATAATTTCTTTATGTTTAGTAAAATAAAAATAATCTCAAGGTAGAGAGAGGGGCCTGTAAAAATGTATCTCAGACATCCAATTTAAACTTCACTGTAAGCATTTTATTGTTAAATGACATTTCTGTGGTTACGTTATACTTTAATCCCAAAACCATTCCTCTGTGTCTCTACCTCTGCTCCCAAAGTATAAATTTGGGCCGAGGTGCGACGCAGAATGTTGTCAAAAGACAACCCCGGAGAATGTCAAGCAACCAAGCATAAACTCAGCTTTACAGTGACTGAGCACATGGCGCGTCTGTGCCTCGGTCAAGGACACCTAAAAAGAGAATACAGAATTCTTGAGAGGTGTTTTTCCTGCTGGTTAGATGGTGTATTAAAGGATATAAGACAGGGTAAAAAGTGGAGGCCATGGTCGACTGTTCAGCTCTGTGCCACAATGCAAGTATATAAATAGGCTGCCCAGTGTTAACTCTTTAGCAGAATATGTTAAGTGCTGTGCTGTCATTGTAGCATAGGGTTAAAGCACCTACGAGGAGTTTTTAAGGAGCAATGAAACAGCCTCATTTTAATACTGATGCCTCTACATGACCTACACAAGCAAACAAAACCATCAGCAAGATTAGCGACCTCTATGTAGTTATTCTTAATGCCTGCCCCGGGTCCGATTTTGCTAAATCAAGCGAACACTTACAGGCATGCAGACCTGAAAAGGATGTATGTATGTAAGTTTACACTCATTGAAATACTTCCGCTTTTGTCCACAGGGGCCACAATCAACACAAAATGAATACTAAGGAACTACTTTCTTTTTACCAAACTACACACACCAAATTTATTACTGTGCACAAGGAAGCGCAAATCTACTTCTAGCTCACCTAGCACCACTGAGCTAGCTAATGTTACACCTCAGCCGAGGAGGACGCCATTTATGTTGACATCTCACGCTGCTATGAGCACGAGCTGCTTATCCATGAGGAGGTGATGCTTCCTTCTGTGTGGCGATATAGATGGCAGATCGCAGAAAGAAAATACTTTCAACATGAAACTGCTCCCAAAAAAGGTATGTGGATTAAACCCTGAATGACGCGGGTCATGATTTCTGTAAAGAAACATTGATGCTGAGTTTTTCAAATAGCACTTTGAACACCACAAGCTAAACACCATCTAGTCATTATATTCGAGAGATAGAAGGCTCAGTCGTAACACACTAGCACACAATACACAATGGGTCAAGACCAGAGGTTTCATTTCTAAAACAGTGCGTAGGATCCATACTAAAAATGTACGGACCAAAGCCAAAATGGCGTGCGCCATAAAACAATTCTACAATTAGGCTCCCACCTTACCATCTGTGTCGCCAATTTCCTGTCTCCAAAATGTTTGTAAGCATGGGTCAAAGTTTCTCTCATCAAGTCTGTTTTATAGATCACAGCTTTTGCGCTGGAAGTAGCGTATGCATCTTACAGGCCTCATTTTGTGTGTACACAATGTTTATAAATGAGACCCCAGGCCAACAGGAAGTGGGCCGAACTTTGAAGCCAATTTTCGTAGCGGTCAAACAGTGGTATTGCAATGTTCCAGGGTCTGGCATGTGATGCCATTGGGCCCAAAACACTTTTTCCCATTGATTTTTATGGCGCAAGAGACATCTGAAAATCAGTGAAACCCCTCGCAAAATGACTCGTTTCACTATCAGGATTTGATCCAGTCAGCCTGATAACATTTCAAAAGTGTAAAAGAGCTGCTCCTGGGTCTCGTATTCAATACTGTATCTAGGTCTCTCAATACATCAGTGGTCAAGACTATAAACTTACCCTATGAGTGATAGCAGGCTCATGCTAACATTTTAGCAAACACTTCTGTTTACAGACAGCAGTGAACTTTATCCAATCTCTTTACTGATCTAATGCTAATGTATATCAGGAGAAAAGTCCATGAGCTGACAGTGAAGTGAGTCACGGATAAATAAAGAGAATTCAAAACACACAGAGCGCAACAGAAAGAGACGAGGAGACAGGTAAAAGAATGTAATTACGTCTGACAACAACAGATAGCTGCGATGCTATAATTCTATCAAAGGCCCTACAACTGCATTATCCAACAGCACATCAATATCCTTCTCAGCAGGACAGCATTGTATTTCCTCTTGTTTACATGAATCATGAGATGGAGAGTGGGATGGAAATATCACAGAGATTCCTTAATATTTTTTGCCCTGTATTGAGTGTGAGGGCAGAGCTGAGTAGATCGCATTAGAGGATTTGAATGTCCTCGACGAGGGGATTTGTCGAGCCGCACAGATAAATACAAGAGGGACAGAGAAAACAGGAGGTGGGGGGGGTGGAAGAAGAGTGAAGAAGAAGAGGAGATAAAGGACAGGCAGGGAAGAACAGAGAGGCGAGATTGTAATTTTTAATATTTGCTGCTTTTGATTAGTAGTCATTACTGTATACTTTAACCACTTCAACCCTCATTATTGTGCAAGTGATATAAACATTTTTTTATCTGTTTTTGCCAACACTACGTATTCTCTGCTTGTTCATGCACTTCAGTTAAACTGTAGAGTACTCACTGTGTGAAGTGGACCTCATTAAATTGCATAGAAAATTGATTACTTGTGTAACATGTTATAAATACTTTATAAATCGTATAGGGTTTTGAAGGCTTGAGTAGAATTTATAATAGCGGTCTGTGGGTTTGAACACATGGGAAATAGGAATACAATACTGGACAGGTCAAAGGGTTTTATAGGGGTGTAAGAGGCAGAGGTGGGAGTAAGTCACACATGCGCAAGTCTTAAGTAAGTCGTTGAAAATCAAGCAAGTCGAGTCAAGTCAAACTCGTAAATTCATAAAGATAATACAACGTAAGCTGCACCCAGAGGTGGAATGTAACTAAACACATTTACTCAGGTACCGTGAGTACAAATCTGAGTCTTTTGTTCTCCTGCCACCGTCTACCTCTACTCCACTACATTTATCTGACAGCTTTAGTTACGGGTTACTTCTGAAATTAAGACTTTGCACTCAAAACATATGAACATGTTCAAGTACAGCTGAAACTATGAGTCAGTTAGTGAATTGACAGAAAATAAATCTGCCACTATTTTGATAATAATCTAAGTCATTTTACTGCAAAAACATTTCATGGTTCCAGCTTCACAAATGTTCAGATTTTTTGCTTTTTATTATTTCATAATTAATTTCTATGTTGAGGTTTGGACTGTTGGTTGGACAAAATAAACATTACGAATGTGTCATTTTGGGTTCTGGGTAAATGTGATGCTATCTCTCAGTATTTCCAGAATTTTTACAAACCAAACAATCACTCAATTAATGGATAAGATAATCAGCAGCTTAAAAAAGTAAAGTCCTTTCAAGTCAAAGTCTCAAGTCATGAATATCAAGTCAAAGTCAAGTAGAGTCTTTCATCAGTGTTAGTCAAGTAAGTCAAAAGGCCTCAAATCTGCAACTCGAGTCAAGTCATGTGACTCGAGTGCCCCACCTCAGGTAAGAAGTAAAAGATAGAGCTCCTTCGTAGATATCCCACCTTCTCCTGTATTCTTGCTGAACTACTGCTGCACCGGGAGAAACAGGAACCTCCACAAATATTCTTTTAGAACTTTTAAAAATGCTCTTATTCATTTTTAATCAACAAACAATTTGTTGCCATCTACTCCAAAGCTTGAGAGAAAGGAAGGGGATGCCACAGGAGAAGAAAGAAAATGAAGTGAAGGACTGACAGACGCAGACAGAAATGGAGTGAAAGGGGGCTCATTGTGAGTTCTAGTCACTACTCTGAAGTCTGTTCAGTATTCTGTCCTCAGCATTCTCACAGCACTAATGAGCAACAGCCAAACACACACAAACAAGCACACACACAAAACTACCCAACCACAACCCAGGCTTGTTTCTCACTTTCTCTACATTAAAGAAGTTGTCCCACTTAACTGCATCCACACTGATCAGATTTGTCAAGCGCCACTCTTCTTTCACCAATTTAAATTCATCACAAACACTCTGGTTTTAAGGGAGTTTACCTCCGACTTTTGATCCGTGTGAGAAGAAGTTGAACAACAGAACATACCTTTGACGATGAGGTCGGCGTAGTTGGACACCCCTGACCCGCCGTCGGATCGGATGACACAGCGGTAGCGACTGGTGCTGCGCTGGGAGGTGTCGCCAACGCTGACGGTTGCAGAGAAACGTCTGTGGTTCACCACCCTGGTCACCATCAGCGCTGTGTCCCTACCGTTCCACTGCTGCATAACGAGAAAGATAAGACCAGTCACTTATTGGCAAAAGCCTTGTAGCATGTTCTCACCAGGCCAGCCATCAGGAATTACGGACGGGGGGCAATTTTTTTTAAATTGGGCCCCTCATCCAGATTCACTCCACCATCACACACCCTTAGCTCGAATATCAATGTGGACAATTTCACCATGGGGGCGAACATCATCACACATGAATACCACTGGGCTCCCTGAATCCACAAGAGTCAAAGTTTTCCAGTCAAACCCATTTTATGCAATTCCAAGTCTGCTGAGGGACCCCAGTATGCAGAAACTTTCAAATATGCCATTTTGAAAAATGACAATGGCACCTTTTCCCTCACCAACATTTAGTCTAACTTTGGGGCATTATTTAGACCCTTCCCAGCAAGATAGCATGACAAAGTACCAACTGATGCCTTAGGTCATCTAGTTTTACATGATACTATACTAGCTTTAAAACTGAGTCATGCTAACTCCTCACCTTTGCCACATTAAGCTTCTGTCATACCCGGTGCTTATTCATACTTGTGTTATGCCCAGATATTTGGCAGCTCTCCCCATGCCTCTTCACTCATCTGTCACCATCTTTGTCACGTAGCAAACTCCTCAACCTTTGACTTGGCAGTTGAGGGCAACAGGCAGCCTGTTAGTTCTACATGTTTTTAGCACTAAGTACCAATATTGTTGTCGAATAGAAGCCGTCAGTAATGTTTGTTAGGTCTGTAATGATTTGGTGCCGCGTTAGCATTCACTAGCTAGCTAACCAGTCTGTGGCAACAAATTTCAATCTGCACTGATGTTGTTGCATAACTTTGGTTTATGTGTGGGCAGAGATAGCGGTCAAATGTTGGCAATAATGCTCCACCATCTGTTTGCAATTCATCATTTAAAAAGGAAGACAAAGGAGAAGAAAAGGTGGTTGAAAAAACAAGCTGTTGTCACTTCCAGTTTGTGCAAAGTGAACAGTACTACCCTGTTGAAATTAGTGTACATAGTGTACTGCATTAAAGTGTACTAACAGAAGTATGGGGTTTGACACACACTTATAGATTTCTGCATGGGACCCCCCTGGGCCCTTTGCATGGGACCCTATCTGACAGCAGGCCTGTTTCCAGCCACTGTCAACCAGTCTTTTGGAACACAGTCTCTGTGTAAAGAGCTCAAGATGGCTGCTCTCTCCTTACAGTGTTGGAAAATAATGAAAAAGAGAGGCCTCTTTCTCACATCAAATGCAACTCTTACTCTAGCTTCAATATTGGTGCAGGGAAATTACAATCTGATCATAAATCCAAATACAAATGTTGCACGGAAGTGTCAAGAGATGAAAAACATATGTGATTGCAAAAAGAAAGGGACAAAGAATCCATGACATCACTCAAAGATTTCTGAAGTGATATATTGAAATCTGAAATATGATTTACTGTTTGTTGCCATTTGGAATTTACTGGAGTCAGAAAATCTTAATTTGGGAAAGGGTGTGAAAAGAAGGGTTTGCTGCTGGCATGTCCCACCAAAGCTGAATGTCAATAGGCTGAGATGCCAACTGAACACCACATTCAGCCTAATATTGGAAAAAAAAATTAATTGAATTGAATTTCTGAATTTCTAAGATAAATCTGAGGCTCTTTTCATTGACTTTAAAATGTCTGAGTTTTCTTGGTGTCATCTAGCTGTCATTTGCAGAACTGCAGGGTGCTTAAGCCAATTTCACATTGGCTCAATATCCGGTCATGTTGGTTTGTATCACATAAAGCCTGATCACATACATCTGATCATTTGACAGAAAATGCAGTGAAAAGGCAAGTGCAGCCTCAACCAGTGACTGCTGCCCTCACAGCTCACAGCACCGACAAATAATACAGAAAGGACTCCATACTGATGTCAAAGATCTGGCAGGGAACAGAAGCAATTTGAACAGAGCAAGTCAGACATGAAGCTCAAAACCGCACTGCTTTGCATATGATCCCCACATCTCCAGATCCAATCTCCTTTACCACTGTAGTATTATGTGCCAATTTGGAGAAACATGCTTTCCCCAACAGACCTCCAGTCAGGAGGGTCACTGCTCTCCATTGCAAATGTCATTACTGTACATAGCAGCGTTCTCGGTGGTATACACCCATGTGCAGTGAAAACATGCAAGCTTGCCAGTGCACATGTAAACTAGAATGAGTATATAGGCATGGATGCACACAACACACACACGCGTCACTTGTACAGAGATGGAATCATCAGTGCAGAGCCGAACAAGGACTTTTAATCAATCCTGAAATAGAGGTGGGAAGGCTCGGGGTGTTTGCCACAGTCGACTTCCCTTTTTGTTTGAATATTATTATTATTATTTTCTAAATAAAATGATCGATTCTTTGGTGCAGAATATTCAATATAAAATTGGATGGATCATTAGATTGTTGTTTTGGATCAGCTGGAAGAAGTCCATCAAAATCATATAACAGAAAACCTCACGTAAAGTTCTGGTCAAGAGTTTAATCATTATTGTAAATCACTGCTTAAGGCATATTAAACCTCACGTTACTATAACAGTACTTCTGCTAAACCTTTAGTGGTTAAACATAAATAACAAATGGTTACATTTACTAAAGTCAAACTTTAAGAGATGGAAGGCAAGTGGGTCATAATGAACACTGATGTTTCCTGATATAGAATATACTGGACTTTGCAGCCTAGTTTGCCGCTGGCATTCTTCTCCTATGCCCATACTCTGACATATCTGGACAACTCGCAGTGTATTAATACCAAGCAGCAACCTCCAGAGATGAAAAATGAAGCCAACGCAGAACTGCAGTTCTCCAAATGGCCACTTGAAGCTGGCCCCAAAGAGCAAATCAATCCTCACAGATGTTAGACTGCCTAACTTTACAGCAGAAATAAACATGTTTGAAGCCTGGTACAAAAAATGGTTTTGGTCTCTTAAGCTAATTTCCTCTGTTATGACAACGGTACAGGGGGTGAATTTTCATACAGCTCACCTGTTTACATGTGATTATGGCTTAAAATTACAAAAAATTAAGGGCATGGCCGCTTCAAGTCACATATGATTAGGCATAGGTGTAGCTGTCACTATTTCAGTGTGTTTTCAGTTAATGACATTTAATTGTAATCTTCAGCGTTTGGTTGTACTAAAAGTCAGCTTTTCCACTACGTACAGTTTGTTTTAATGATTTTAAGCTTGTTTTTCTTTCGTAAAAATTACAATGAGCATTATCACTTTTAACCAAAGCTGTAAATGCTTCATGCTAAACAAGCTAGCAGCTAGCATTAGGGTTAGCTCCACTCTTTTGTCTTAATATGGTAAATGGACTGCAGTTGTGTAGCATTTTTCTAGTCTTCTGACTACTCAAAGTTCTTTTACACTACACGTCACATTCACCCATTCACTCACACGTTCACACGCTGGTGGCCGAAGCTACCGTAAAAGGTACCACCTGCTACTTACGCCAATGGAACAGCCATTGGGAGCAATTTGGGGTACAGTATCTTGCCCAAGGATGATTTGGCATGTGGACTGGAGGAGCCGGGGATGGAACAGGCGATCTTCCAATTAGTGAATGACCCGCTCTAACTCTGAGCCACAGCCGCCCCCAGTTCTGACACAAAAAATCCAAGATGGCGACGGCCAAAAATGCCAAACTCAAGGCTTCAAAATGGGAGTCCACACACCAATGGGTGACATCGCTGTGGCTACTTTCATTTTTTTTTATACAGTCCATAATTAATACTTTAAAAAATGTGAGTAAATCTACAATTATGATTCTATTTTTCATTAGACTCACCTGTACAAGTTCTACTTCCTGGACCTTTCCATAGATGTTCACAATTTTATTATATGTGGATAATTTACAGCATTCTGACCCTTCTTTATACAAGCTCTGCGTGTTCACATGCTGCTGATATCATTCATGCACACTGATAAGAAGGTACTAACCTGCAGCCAGAGTTTATCGTGCTGAGACCATTTCCCTCCAGCGGTACACTGAAACGTAGCGTTCTGACCCACGTTCACCTCCACGTTTTGCAGACGCAGGAAGTGAGGTGCTTTACCTGCAACATAAACAGCAGACACAGACACCATGTAAACATTTAGGTAGAATATTATGGAGAGGAGATAAAAAGGCTATTACTGTTGCACCAATCATATTCTTAAAGTGAACTGTTGAGGACCTTTGACAAGGGGTACAGATCTGATTTCCTGTCAGTGACGACAGACTGAAGCTTATTCTAAAAACTCAAACTTCTTTATTTTATTTTTCTCATGTATATTTGGGTTGTACTTGAAATACGCCCCAAGGTTAAAGTCATTCTTTCCGGAGAGTTGTTCAAGCTTTCTAAACTAATAAAAGTTCTTTAATCGTGTATTAAAGCAATTGGCAGACCACTGAAATATGTCATCTTGTTATTAAAGACGTGATAAATCCACGCTGGATCATAACAGCAGATGCCACTGCTAATAAGAAAAAAACACTTGCAGGAAACCCCACAACAGCAGTAATCCAGTTCAAACAGGGCTTAATGTTGCTGTCTGCAGTGAGGCAGAGAAATTCATGGGATGGCTATGAGACAGATGAGCAGGTAGACAATGAGACAGACTGCCAGACACTGGGTGACTTTGGCCTGGCATTGAGACCAGCCAGCGACTGGTTAATTTCATTTTGCCTGTCTGCAGACAGAGATAAGCCCAACGGAGTATGCATCGATCATTTAACAATGATAATTCGACCTGACGCTAATGGTCAGGTTGTTACAAATGACAGGAACTGAGATATAAAGTTTGGGTTTTTTTGGTAATGTTTCCTTCCTTGTAAAATGTTCTCTCGCCTCCCTATCTTTACATTATCTCAAATCTTTGTGGTCTAGTTTATTTTCTTGTTTCTTTAGTGAATACCTCTACTCTCTTCCTCTTGCTTTGTACCAATGACTCACCCACTTTGACTAATCTGATTAGTGACTGGCACAGATGAGCTAAATGCTCTGTGCCAGCAGTTCAGAGAGACAAAAAAGCAATCGGAAATAAATGACTAATAGAGGGACAGATAGGTGAAGAGAGTGCTGTGTAGAGTGAGGAACATATCGGATATGGGAAGAAATTAAAAACAAAAAAGAGACAAATAAGAGGCTGTATCAGGAAAAAAATAATTGAAACCCCCTTAGTTACTGTTGGTAGGTCAGACAGACTTAACAAAGAGAAACATGGCGACCCTAGTTTTGTTTAGCTCGGTGACGCATTATTTATGAGATAGTTTCTAGGTGTCAGGAAATATCTCCTCAAGAAGCCGATACATAGGACTGCAGTATGTGATGGAGACTATATTTACAATATTAACTGTTAAGGGTGATGCCAAACAACGTGAACTGATGCTTTGGTCTCAACAAAAAAGGGAGAAGTGGAGACCAAAGACAACAAGACCTTCACTGCAGGATATGTGTCCCATATCCCCCCTCTGGGGATCAGATACTCTATGCATTTATTACTGATTACAGACCGTGGTGCCGACCTAGCCTAAGGAAGTTACTTTGGGACGGTACCTAGCCTTACAAAAATAATATATACAAAGAAAAGTTAGCCTTGATTTTTTTCTATGTCAGCAACCAAACTATCTGTCCTTTTCCAAATCTCTTTAATGTTACCATAGAAATAAGGAAGAAGCAAACCTATCTTACATTGTTGATTAAACATAGGCTAACTCCTCTTGATCTAGTTAGCTAGCAAGTGAGCTAGCATTCTGCTAAAATTAGCCAAGTTAAGATGTGACAATACACAATGAAGACTATGATAAGTCATCAGTCACATCTTTTAACCAGCTTAAGAATGCAGTTTTCTTTTAAGCAGGTAGAATATTTAAGAACAATCAGACAGTGGATAGTTGGCCAATATTCACCTTGTTGACTGCCATCAGCCTATCTGCAAATAAGATGACATTCACTGATGGCAATGGCTGATGTTTTTACGATTGTGTCTCATCAATTTTGTGCAGACTAAAAAGCAGGGCTCGAGACTAGCAGCACCCCGTCGTCACATGGACAATAGAAAAGGTTGTGGGGGCAAAAAGAGAACTTCCCCAGGGTGACTTAGGGAGGAAAGGATGAGATAAACTCATTATGAAGGTGCCAGACGAGGCACCCTATTGTTCCCCTGATAATGCTCCATTGTGAACAACAAATCTGTGTTTCTACCGGCTAGTGGAGGGCTAGTTCAGGATAGCTGTTAGCATGAACTGCTAACGGAGGTTGTATTTAGTTACATTATGATGTGTTTAAGCTCGACTCAGTAAAAGTGAGCTGTTACAACTGGCCCCTGTCATTTTTTGTAGCCCCCAGGCAAAGCAGGTTAAGTAATGCTAATGTTTGACATTAGTTGATTCTGCTGCTCCAGACTGAAGACAGAAATTTTGGATTTATGTCTACCTCTGTTTCTCAGTGAGTTTGTTTTTTATTTTAAACTTCTTTCCTTTATGTCCTACTATCAATTTGCCTTGTTTTCCCAATTTAATCGATTGAAACAGCTGTGAACATTGCAAATTATCAGGCAGTGTTGGTAGTCTTTGCCTCCACTTGCCTGCTCTCCATCTGGACAGTGCACCAATGTATGACATCATATGCAAAGATACAATTGTGTTATTTGAAAATAAAATGAGAGAAAAAAAAAAAAGTACTACCATGTATTACAACTTTCCACGAGAGTTTTTCAAACAATAATGTTAAATTGAACTGATAATATTTGAAACTAATATTTGGAGAATATAATATCTGAGAAAAGAAGGTGAGAATGTGAGAGTTTAATCCTGAGAAGACAGAGGGAGGTAAGTAGGCCACAGAGTGTTGCAGTAAGCAGTCTGGAGTTTTGTGAAGCAAAGTGTTTCTGTCAGATTTGAGTGATGAAGACCCTGAGTTTGGACCTTCTTCCTGGCTCTCTGCAATCTGTCTGCGAGCCTCACAATCTGTCCTTCACACAGCCTTAGTGTGTGTGTGTGAGCATGTGAGATAACTATAAAACAGATGATGCTCAGTGGGGCTACAGTTGTGCAGGGTCAACCATTACGAGACACACACACACACACACACACACACACAGCCACTTACGGCAGGGGTGAGCCAGAACTCGTATGTCGTCGATGGCGATGAAACCGGGATGGCCTTGAACTGAAACTGCTTCGAATATTACCTGAGAGGGGAAGGACAGGAAAAACAGAAAGAAAGAAAGAGGTTGAGCCACAGTTTTCTCTACGAGTAATGAAACTAAAGAAAAAACTCTCTTTCTTCCACAAACTGCAACATCTTGACTTCCCTGTGAAGCTCATATGGAAACCCCAGGGGAATTTTCCACACTGAAAGTCAGCAACTATTCCTCTCTTCAATTCATCCCTTCATCCTTCTGTCTCCATCCGTATGCCAACCACATATACAGCATCCTCCTCCTTCCTCTCGTCTACCCTCGTCTCAACCTCCTCCCTTATCCTTTTCATGTTCTTTCCTCTTTTCTTTTCCACCCAGACCTAAGCCCATCTTGTTCTCTCCCTGCTCCTCTAATTTCTTTCCTCTCTGTTTCCGCTGTCTCCTTCTCTCTCTTCTTCTTGTAAATGCTCTTTTGCATCTTTCTCCACTTCTCTCCCATCACATCACTCTATTTTTCCTGCCTTTACGTTTTCTTTAGCACCAACTTAGACACACTCTCAGAGTGACAGGCAGTCAGCAGGGCTGTCAAGGGGCCATGCACTTCTGACCCATGCATATATACTCATACACAAACACACACTGCAGATACACACACATATACCTCTGTGCTGTACTTGTCAGGATCCTCAACAGTATAAGTTGGGACTCAGTCTGAATACTAAAGACTTCTGGGAAGACTTAACTGTCTTCCTTTCCTTCAAAAAATAAATCCCCTGCTCTGGCATTCACATCAAGTTTCTAGACGTCAAAGTCACTGCTATATTTTTTTCAACAATCTATTTTCTGTTTTGAATAGGTTTAATGACCACTCTTCATCGTGGAACGCTCATCACGTTATGCTCTTTTTTTTAATCGCCCTGTGCTTCTCTACGTTGAACTATAGAAACAAAAAAAGCAGAGGACAATCTGTGAGCTTTCTGCCTCCATGCTGGCTGCTTCACTCACTATCCTCGATCATTTTCTTATCAAAAGAATCCAAAAACAACATTTCATCTTCCAACATAAGTGGTTAAAGACACGGTGACCCACTGCAACACATATAAGATGCTAAAAATGTTGCCTGATGTTCACAAGACAGTGATAGGTTAGCCTAAAAGTTTGTTGTGCCTTCCTCGTGGTCTGGACTCTAATATGACAGTGTTTTTGTCCCTTTTGAACAAGAAATGTCATTTCTCCATGGGAGGTGACTCCTCATTAGGGAGGGAAACACACACACACGCACACACACTCTCACATTTGTGTCTTCTTGGTTACCAGTGTGCCTCAGATCTGTGTGCGCAACACAGGGGTGCCTTCATTTACTGAACATAGCTTAGTCATTAGGTAAAACACCGTGGCTTTTGTGCTACCTCAATAAAACAACACAGCAGGGTATGTCTCTGCTTCTTAAACACACCGATACACACACACACACACACACACACACACACACAAACACACACACAGACGAAATGAGAGTCATTAAATGGAAACAGCATTGCGTTTCCATATTACAGGAGTACACTGAGGGAAAGAGGCCTGTCGGTTAAGAGACGAAACTCAATCTACAACTCCAACTAATGGACTTCAGCTCAGATTAGACTGAGCCACTATCCTTAACTGACAACTGGGTACCAAAACATATGTGCTGTATTAACTTATCACTATTGGCATATTATGTAATTACATGTTTTGGAAACTATTTTAGATACCTCAATGCACAGAAAGCTATCATAGCATCAGCTAACTGAGCTCAATGAAACAGCACCACAGCGAGAAACAAAGATCTATGATTGGTCGATGCTTCAATGCGTCATTGGAGTGCTGAAGAAGCTGAGGTCAGCTCAACTTTTCTTTGTAGGCCTAGTGTGTCACGCCCTTGGCAACAACAAGTGCAGGGTGTCAGTTGTAGCATCATGTCACTGGCTTCCATTGAGAATGCCTTGTAGCCTGACAGTGTGTCGATTGTAGTGTGAACACAGCATTAGTCAGCTGCAATAACACCACACAGGGTACACAGAGCATGCTAAAGTGTGCGCATTTAGCATCATAGTCAATGTAAAGACAGATTTATGTTCTAAATGTATTACTGGTAATTGTGTATTATACTAAATTTTCACAGCCACATCAAATCCGTAACGTCATCTGCCTATTACCATTTAAAAATCACTGCTAGAGTCAGAGGAAGAATGTCAAAGCAAGACCTTGAAAGGCTCACCCACGCCTTTATTTCCAGTTGATTGAATTACTGCAATGATCTGTTTGTAGGACTTTAAAAACAAGCTGTTCAGCAACTACGGCTTATTCAGAATGCTGCTGCTAAAATCCTTACACTGGCTACCTGTCACTCAGAGAACTGATTTCAAAATCTTGCTGCTTGTGTATAAATCACTCTGTGGCTGAGCACCCAAATATATCTTTGACATGCCTGTGCCATATCTACCTTCTAATGTTGCGTTCGTTTTGTACTCGGAGGTCGGAAATTCCCAGTTCCCAGTCCGAAGTTTAAACTCGAACGCACCCTGAGATCGGATTTCCAACTCGGAAACTCAGAGCAACCGCATCAACCCCAACTTAGGAATTCAAGATGGCTGCTGGTCACATACATAGTGAGTAAACACTCTGCTAAAGTACTGTTGATAGCAATTTTATCTTATTTGTTTTACATTAGATCAGCAATATCTGCGGCGTTCATCAGTTGGAGTGCATGACGGTTTTGAAGCCGTCTACTACAACCTACAACCTTCTACAAAGGCTTTCTTGCGGGTGTCCATGTTTTTTCCCGACTTATCCACCGTTGTCAACTAGAATGCAAAAACTGTTGTCAACTCGGAGGTGACGTCATTCCCACTTCCGACTTCCGACCTCCGAGTACAAAACGAAAGCACCATAGGACCCTGCGGACATCCGGGGCCGACCTACTAATCATCCTAAGAGTCAGGACAAAACACGGTGAAGCAGTGTTTTGTTATCATGCAGCACAAACCTGTAATAACCTCCCAGATGTTAGACAGCCCCGACTCTGACCACTTTAAAGTCAAAGCTAAAAACAACCCATTTTAACACTGCCTACTCCACCCTGTAATGACTGCAACCTTATTATACAACTTAATTTTGAGTAATTCCAAATAATATTTTTATCTTTGCACCTCTTGTCTGCACTTTTGTTATTTTTAACTGTGACTTTCTTTTAAATTGTAAATCATTTAGTGATTAATTTTACCTTTAATATTTTTCTTTACTCTTTTCTGTATCCTTTATTATGTTTTATATTTTATTGCACTGTAAAACACTTTGAATTGCCCTTGTGTGCTAAACAAACGAAGCTACCTTGCCTACTAACACCAACATTCAAATTACTGAGGCTACAGCTAACATTAGCTGTGCAGCTAACTCGCTGTATGCTAACTTACACAGGAGTTGCTAACTTTCCCCAGCTCTCAGGCTTTGTTTCACGCACTCATGTTGTACAAACAAATCTTAGGGCAAGTAAGAGGAACTCAAAAGATACTCCTTTGTCAAAAAATATATCAATGAATGTTTCTGCTAGTGTTAGCTGTGTAAAAAAAGTAAACTCTTTGCTAGCATGCTAGCCACAGCATGTTAGCTAACGTTACATGTTAGCTTAACGGTTAGCTTGTTGTTTGTCAGTCTCTGTTGGTTCTCCATCAGTTAAAATGCTGTTTAAATATTCACTGCTGCTCACTACCCCTGTGAACAATATACCTTTTCCATGGCAGACATGTTTAACACGTCATAGCACCAAATTCATAAGTTGAATTTATAATGTTGGCAAAGGCAGCCTACCAGTTAACTGATGCAGAGTCATGGTCCTGGTGATGTGCATGATTTAAAGCACACAAACCCAAATAACAGAGTCATCATTAATTACCAACACTTGTGCTTTTTCCTGCTCTGACAACTGTCCACAGATAGCAGTGTTAAAGTGACAGTAGTTGAACACAACTTTCATCAACATTGCTAGTTTAACAGAAAATCCTTCATATTGTACCATTCACAAATCATTTGTCAGAACGAACACACTTGACTGGTCACAGAGTTAAGTAAATATTTAATTTGTTTCAGGGGGAAACAATTAAAGAGTCAAACAGCCTCAGTCAGGACAGATGAAATATCAAACATTGGCACATTTAATATCTGCCTGACACATGACATAAGGGAGTGTAATTATAAATCTCAGTCACATTAAAAGATGAGTTCAATTCTCTTTTGCTAGATAATAAAATGACGGTCAAAGAGGAGCTGGTGCCATGTGAAGTTTGTAGAAATAACGTTTGCATCATCACTTCTCTGTATCATTTCAATTTAACCTGCTTTATTATTGTTTTCATCATGAATCATATGCGCGCGCGTGTGTGTGTGTGTGTGTGTTACCTGATAGGAGTTGGGCCAGAATGTAGAAATGGCCAGCTCAGCCTTCACCCATCCTTCGGTAACTGTATCAGAGGCGTTCCATACTGGGTTACCCTGAGCGCCTCCATTCACCTGCAGGCAGACAGTGAGCAGAGACAGAAAACAATAAAAAGAGATTTAGAGGGTGAAAATAATAACTCAGCCTTTGAAGGTTTCAGAGAGTAAAACTGGAGAATTTTATGAAGCTAAAATAAAAGTGTCATTTTTAATATTCACTAACAATATCATCTGGAATTAACCTGCTGTTAAAAATGAGAGGATAATTAAACCAAATAACTTCTGCCAGGGGCATTGGGTGCTACTGTTGCATAACATTTAGACTACATTACCCATAAAACCCAATTGCTCTTTAATGAAAAACCTATCATCAAAAGGCCCTTTTTGGTTGGACCTGCTATCCACCTTATTCCTAGCCCCCATGATCCCTTGCGCAAATTATGTGCGCGACTTCCGGCGTTGAACCGAAACCGGCGATTTCCAATGGTGACAGTTTGTTTACAATACTCTATTCTTCTATTCAAGAGCAATTGTGATTATCTGGATTATGTGATCATACCTCTGCCATCTCTAACAGCCATCTCAAAGCATTGTTGTCTTTTTTCCATTCAACAGAACACGCTAGCAATTAGCTCGCCTTGCTCTGTTAAAATATTGATAATTGGTTACAATATGTTCACCATATAACTCTTGATTATTATTGGTCCGACAGCCCATTGGCCCGACATCCCGTTAGTCTGATGGTCCGCGGTGCTGAACGGCGGGCGTATTTCTGCCTTGATGGTGCGCCGCGACCAGCTCTGGGTCAGCTGGGAAAGGCTTGAGGCGAAGCAGGCTCACAGCTTATGTGTTTGTCACTTTCTTTTTCATTTTAACCCACACCATGATCTTTTCCTGACCCTCACCAAGTGGTTTTTGTGCCTAAACCTAACCAGACCTTAACCACAGGGCATCATGATGATTTTGGAACAACTCACTCTGACTTCCTGATACAGGTCTGAAACTCTTTCTATTTACGCTTCACACTGCTGCAACTCTTTAAAATCTTACCCCCATTTGTGAAGATCATCTTACTGAAGAAATCGTGTAAGTATCACAATGTTTGTTTGCCACAGAGCTTATTTTTCATATTGATCCAAAATCCAATGGAAACATCCTGTAGGCTTTTTACAGAGAGAACCAGTGTGATGCTAACTTCCATGTCGGCCCACTGCCTGGGCACTCTATTCTTTATTTATCACTTAATTAATTATTCTGTTACTTCATGCGTTGATTCTCCAAACCAGTGATTTGTTAATTCCCTTACTGTCATCACTTACAGATCCTCAGCAATCTCAGTATGTCATGTCTTGTCTTTTTATCCCTTTCATCCATCCTTACATTCCCAGAGTTCACTATCCTGTCATTTCTACACTCCATCTATAGCTCCTTTCTATCCTTGGCAGCTCTTTATTCTACCCATCTGTCCATCAGTGCCTTCAGACCAATATATAAAACATTCACTCTGCTCAACAACAAAGAGAATCTATCACAAACACCCCCGGTTCCTGTCTCTGTTGGCTTATTGTAACTCATGTTATGATTTCCTATTTTTAACATGCATTTGTGTCCAAAGGTTTTGTAAATAAATAAAATACTATACGCTTGCTAAGAAGTTTCCTTATAAAAACACACAAACATTGCAGTGATACAATGCATCATATTCAGATTAACTGTATCCATACTAGAAGGCAATAGATGAGGTTTTTCTTTTGGTGTGATCAGCTATTCTGTCATCCTTTCATTCTCCGTCTCTGTCTATCACACACACACAAACACACAACCAACCTTACCTAAACACACAATGCCCCAGGGCCTTGACAGAGAACAGAGGTCTGTTTGTTTGTTTACCTGTTTAATCTGTTCAATCTATCAGCCTCTTCATCTGTCAATCCATCCCTCCCTGTCAGTCTCTCACTCTCTCACACACACAGACTCTCACACACACACACACACACACCTTAATATAGACGTTAAGCGTTCCCGGGCTGGCTCCGTCCCGGCTGGACAGGGAGTACAGGAAGTCGATGCAGTGGGTGTCATTCTCCTTCAAGGTGGGCATGTAAAGGTGAGCCTTCTGCCCTGACGCCCGGCCTGATGCGTTCACCACCATGAACGAACCTGCAGCCACAGAAACAGGAAGACAAAGGCCAGAGACAGTTCAGATATGATGATAAGGGTGCACCGTAGCACAGAGGATTCTTCGTCTGACAAGAACAATGTTAGCAGCTGACATTGGGCGAGAGGCGGTAAATAAAAAGTTAATGTCTCTGCTCTAAATAAATATGTTTTAATTAATGCACACAAATGTTTTCTAAAATCAAGTAATTTGTGATTTAAGTCACGTCGTGCATTTGTGCCAACCAGCCCCATCACAGACTTGGTTGGCGCACTTTATTGTGTTGGTTGGCACAATGTTAAAATGCAATAGTTGCAAAAAAGCTTCGCCACCGATAGAAAAAATTTGACCATTTAATTCAATCAAAAACAAGACAACATGAACATTTAATCGAATATCTGCTGATTTTTAAAACCCAACAACAATTTAATTATGCATTTAATCAGTAGGGATGTCTAAATACTTTTGCTATTGACCATTCAACATAATCATAATTAACTATCAATATAAACATTGTTTTAAATCTTGGACTGATAGTGAATAAGTAGATGCAGCGCACACAAGAGGGCTGCTTTATTAAATCATGGCGAAGTCACTAACTTTTTTGGTGAGGGTAACATTTTTACACAGTTTTAGAATATCAAAATGAAAAACATGGTCTTCAGACTTAATAATAAATGTAGATATTGAAAATGTGATGTGTCTGATTAATAGACAAAGGAATCAGATACATTTTATGTAAGATTAGAAAGTCTGATGAGTGATGTTAGCTGGCTAATATTATATTATCACAAGGTTGGGTCAAATGTGAGCAGGGTTGGCTGGCACACTGATTTTGGGGTTGGTTGGTATTTTGAGTGGTTGAAACTATTCTGAACATATTGTTGTTTGAGATGTTACAAACAACATTTCAGATGAAGACTTCACTTTCAATCTGATATTTCCTTTCATCATTTCCACCAACTTATAACAGGGCATGTGCTTTTTAATGAGTCTTTCAACATAGTTTTAATTGCTTCTTGTACACATGTGCCAACCAACCCGAAAATCAACGTGCCAACAAACCGTGCTCACATATGACCCAACCTTGTGAAAAAATTATATCAGCCAGATACCATCACTCATCAGACTTTGTGATCTTATATAAAAATGTATCTGATTCCTTTGTCTATTAATCAGAAGCATCACTTTTCCAATATCTCCATTTAAAACAGTTTTATATGTTCAGTCCACAGATCAGGTTTTTCATCTTGATATTATGAAATTCACCTTCAGCAAAAAAGTAAGTGACTTTGACATGTTTTAATAAAGTAGATAAATGCAGGTTGTTTCTGTGACCTTCAAAGGACCAGAAAATATCTGTGTGACAAGCAACCAACAAACCAGTCTGCCTGCTCATAGATTTTGAGCTGCATGAAAATGTCCTTGAAAAGACTTGCGGACAAGAGCAGATGTTGAAATTAATGTTAAACGTCCCCTCGGGGCTGCACTTAAGCGGAAAGTACAATTTGTTTAAACTTTAGGGTGTAATAGGGTATGATGTCATACTGTACATGATGGGGCTTGCAAGAGTGGGTATAACAATCTTTTGTGTAGCGGTACCAGAGGCATAAATAAAGACACTGCAGACAGGGCACTTACACTGGGACCCACTGGGTAAGGGTGCCCATAGAGAATGGGCCCTCCAACTACAGCCCCGTTTCCACCAAACACTTTCAGTATAGTACCTTTGGAACCAAAAGTAATCCTTCAGACATGATACCTAGACCCTTGCATTTCTCCCGCAAACAGTACCCTTACATGCGGGCGGGGTTATTGTCACTCACTGCTCCGTCCAGCACTCACTGTATTTTCTCATTATCGGTGACACAGATGGAAGTCTGCACCTCGTTTATCGTCCACAGAACGAGGCTGCACGCCAGCATTTTCAAAGTAAAAGAGAACTGGCTGCAGTGACAGTCCCTCTCAATGGGATATTTAAAAATAGTGGGTTTGTGCATTTAGTCCTTCTCAGGCAAGCTCAGGGGTTTAGTGTTGCTGTGGCCCACAGGAACGACACTCCACAGCACTTTTTTTTCTCTGAGTATTGGAATATATGCAGTTCAGACTCATTACTAAAAGTGTCCGTCATCCAAGAGAGACAATAAAAACTAAAGTGATGGTCAAAGTTGTCACAGTGAAATTTAAGGTGTACTGATGGATTCACGTCGTCAGCTCATGCATCCAGTAACATTACAAGTTAACATCCCACCTCAAACATTGCCAGCAGTCGACCCAGTGAATGAAGTTATTTTTTCTCAGACTCCAGCTGCTGTGAGAGGCAGCAGAACATCCTTTCATTTTATAGTTACAGTTTACTAATAAAACTCTCCACAGTATGAACAGTGGTTACATGAGCCTCAAAACCAGCAACAACTCAGCCCTGAGCAGAGTGAACGTCCTCTACTGACCAATCAGACTGCAGTGTTCACAGCTCCACCTTTTAGTACCAGATCTGTGTGCTAGGTAGCCCAACAGAGGGGGGACCAGAATTTGAAATGAAACACATGGAGGCAAAAGTATCAACAAATACATCTAAATCGAACTTGAAAGACTACATCTTGTGTTTGTTTTCTTCTCTTCATATACTGCTCTTGATCAACAGGTTGCAAAACTGATCAGACTTGTTTGATTTCTGTTTGAGTTTTGAAGCAGATCAGAAGGTCAAAGCAGGACCGCAGAACAGATCAGCATCTTCCCTGACTGACAAACATTTCTTTTAACTTCCCACTGCGGCAGAGATCTGCTACAAATAGAGTTTGTTAGTACAATTTCTAAAGCACTGGTGTTCCGCAGAGATGGTCGGCCAGGTTTGTATGCTGTTCAGCAGACACTTGATGCAGCTAAAAAGAAAGAAAGAAAAAGCAAGAGCAAAAACAACTCAAGCTCTTTAATCCACTGGAGCTGTATATCAGCGTCTTAATGTATCCACGCCCCGGGGGTTCTGAACCACGACGTCAAACACATTTTCTCCGTCTACTCGTGGTTTAAGTGTGTTTTAGTCTCTGCTTTATGGCACAGGATGGAGCTTTTATGGGTCGGCCGGCTCCATTTGGCTGACTGCCATCAGCCAGTGTGAGAGTTAGAAGTGACTGGGAGACTATTTGGCAAGAGAGTGGGAGAGGAGAGATACTGAATCAAGCAGGTGTGACTGTGCGGTTCTAACAATGTCTGTTTGTGCGTGTTCACTCTATTGCATAGGTGTGAAAGTGTCCTGAATTAATGTAGAATGAACAAGAGAAAATGTGTGTGGTGGACACCAGCTTAAGGATATATTTGGACTCCTTAACTTTATGTATGAGGTTCTTATCTCTTATGGCTGTTTTTACTTCTGCTGGAACTTTGGATGCACATAAGCTGATGAAAACTCCCTGTTCCTCTATTTTACACCCCACTGGTAGTCAGTATCAAATACTGTGTACTGATTCAGAAAACACTTTTACTATTAACACATTTCTGCAATTTCTCCCAAAGTACATATATAAAAGATTAGAATTAAGAAACAAAACTCTTCCTATACACTACTGCAATTATTGTTGAAGGCGTCTGATCATATTCATATGAACAAAAAAGAAATAGTCAAGTAAAAAATACAATGAAATGTATTCGCTACAATTGTTCATTCAACTACTGATGCGTTTTACCAGCAAGTGTTGCCTGGACATCATGACATTTTGATTTTAAAGGGCAGCGCAGTGACTTTTGAAGAGGAAGGAGTGTGCGGAGGAAGCAAAGAACAAATCCACAGACTTGGACAACTGTACTTGTGAGGACATGCATTGACACACATGCCTTAAGAGAATAGTTCTGAAGTCAGGTCGTATGAGGTACTTATCCATAGTGTATTTCCTCAATCTGAACCCATTCACTGTTGATGCACTACACATGAAAACAAGTAATGCACCACATTTGTGCTTATCCTACATAATCATGAGCCAGTAATTTGTCTTTAATTCACGGAATTGTGAAGGCTGCCATCACTATACCAATGCACTAGGGATGGACGTCACCAGAGGCCTTACTTTACGATATCATCACAATATGATCATCTTCCCCTTTGGCTAAATGGAGTTAAACTGTAAATTATGTCTCAAAAGAAAAACTTTGTCAACATCAGCAGTTTTAAAGTAAAGATCTGTTCATCTTGGAACGGTGTGAACTTTAAGTCATTTAAGGTACATTCTTACCATGTTTCTTTTCCACAACCTAACCACAGTGATTTTATTGTCCAAACAGATAACTCCATAAAATGACATTTAGGGCTCTAGTTTCCCGGCACGGCGCAGGGTGGCGAACCCCGCGCAGAGCTAGTTTCGAGCAGCGCACCACACGGCACATTCTCTTTGGTAGTTTGGCAGACCAAGGTGCGCTGAGATGGGTGTGGCGGCGCAGCAGGGGGAGGTGTCGACAGATCCAGCTTGGCGCAGTGACAGTTTCGTGCCAAAAGGCTTCGCCGAAAGTGCGTTAAAAGCTCGCCAGCTGAAACCAGGTCTACTGTCAACGCAGGGGGAGCGCAGCCAGTGTAGTGGAAGTTTGGCTGACCGGCGGACAGTGCACACACGTCACCAAAACCTCACAGGCAGGTTTCCAGAATATCAGGCACATTAATGATGGAATATATACCCCAAAACCACTATTCAATGCAACTATCTGCAATCAGCACATAAATGTATCTTTGTATCGACTGTCCCGTCACATCTGATGTCAGATCAAAGGGGATTGGCACCATTTGGCACGTTTGGCACGCGTAATGGAAACCCAACCTGATTTGATTAACACAGCTGCAAACTAATGAGTTCACATCCCTCTCAGCCAACCACAAACAGCCACAGCATCAGATAGGGAGTATATATTCAGCATCTGTCATCTTAGAAAAGTCAAAAGAAAAGAAACAGAGTGAGACTGCAAGAGAGAAAGAGAGCGCACAGGCACGAGAGAAACGCAACACTGATTTACAGTTGTG